ACAATATTGAAGAAGAGGGAACCAGTGATAGAGGAACAGAAGACACCTCGAGTAGCTCTAGCAGCACCCCGGAAACCTCAGACTCGGAGAAGGGGGTAGCTGCACCTAAAATACTTTAAAGGAATCTGAAGTACAAGAAGAAGAAACGTATAGTTTAACAGAATATAAGTGATTATAAAACACTTGAGACTAGTATTAAGATTAAGCTAGCATTATCCTGAATTTTGATAAACTGATCTTTGTTATTATTTTAAGATTGTTATATATACAATGTAACATTTAGAACATGATCCTTTGTTTTAGTTATAATGATTTCCCCTGTTCCCCTCCCTTTAGGATGTAGATTATAAAATACAATAAAAAAGTTATTTAAAGCAAATGCTCACCTCCCTTCAAAACTCCTCCAAGCAGAAAACTAGCAGGTCAAGGAAGAAGAGAAGAGATTGGATTTATACCCCGCCCTTCACTTGGAGTCTCAGAGCGGCTTACAAACTCCTTTCCCTTCCCCTCCCCACAAAAGACACCCTGTGAGGTAGGTGGGGCTGAGAGAACTCTGACACAAACTGCTCTTTTTCAAGGACAGCTGTGCCAGAGCTTGTGACTGACCCAAGGTCATCCAGCCAGGTGCAAGTGGAGGAGTGGGGAATCAAACCCGGGTCTCCCAGATTAGAGTCCACGCACTTAACCACTACACCAAACTGGCTCCAAACAGGTGGGACAAAAGTGATCTGATGTGCCAGTCAACTCTACTGCATCCTTTTTTAAAAAGATAATTAGATATTTATATTTATTAATTTAGGGAATGTGTATGCCACCTTTTCAAAGACCTACTTGAGGTGGCTCAAAGACAAAAGCAATCCCATAAAACAAGCCATGGCTATAAAAAACAGTATATTAAAACAAGTCAGTAAGAACAAGTCAATAAAAACCAATGATGGGTGTAAAAACAACAATTCAGCAGGCTAAAAATATCTGTCAAATATTCCTCAGGCTAGAAGCAGACCATAAAACAACTAAAAAATAAAATAAAAAATCCCTGTGTTAAAAGTCTGGGTATAAATAAATCTTTTTGTCTTAAAAGTCCAATCACAAGCTCATTGCACGGGGAGCATGCCTACACCCCCCTCCCTGTGAATCATGGGCAGTGGTCAGCTGGTTTTGGAATGTTGCTGGTAACAGGGAGTGTGTGTGTGTGTGGGCAACCATTCAGTGATTGCATGGAGGCAGGAGGCAGGAGGCAGCATTCTGAATTGTACCTGGAAACAAAGAGGCAGACAGTACAAACCTCTCAGCTCAGTGGCGATATGTATCCAGCTCACAGCAATAGCCCAGCCACTGTATTTGCAGCCTGTTGAAGTTTCCAGGCAATCTGCAAAAGCAGCACCATGTAGAGTGCAGTGCAGTGGATCGCTGTGGTCAAATTATGTCTTTTGAAGGAAGCTGTCGTTGGTGCATCAGTGCAAGGTGATTAAAGGTACTACATGCCAAGGAGCAGACCTGCTTTCCAACCACTGGCCAAGTTCCAGCAGCATCCCCAAGCTATGAAGCTGTACTGTCATTGATACCCACCTTTTCTTCCTGATGGGGAAACAAAGAACTTTACAACATTGTTCATCTTCAGTCTTCTGTGCGGTCTCACACTGGGCCTGTGCGTGTGCCATCCAGCCACAGAGACAAATTTTCTAGCTTTATGAGACTGAAGGGCGCACAAGGCAATATTTTCCCTCCAAAACCATCACAAGCCATTCGAGAAGAGCGCCCCCTTCCCTCAATTGTTCCTTCACTGCTGTTGTGAGAAGATCAACATCGAACATTCTGATGTCCCATAATATTGAAAAGTTTCTATTCAAGAGTTAATGACTTTAAAGTTTTAAAACTTTTAACTAATAAAAAAGGCCAATGGTGCATAGATCCTTGTTCAAGAAATATACTCAGTGCAGCACAAAAATGACTCACATGGATGGACAAACATTCTCTATGCCTCTCTTGCGAAGGAGAGTCTCACAATGTTTCTTCCCGTCGCTATTACCAGCAGTTCATCCCAGAATCTCAAAGCAATAGGGCTCCAAGACTTAGGAGAGACTTAAGGGAAAAGGCTCTTTCAGGCTCCAATACCATAGCAGCAAAATCATCAGCTGTGAGGGAGCAGTCCTCCCGGGCTGAGTCTGTTTTCCCAGGAAGAAGGAGAAGAAGTCGGAAGGTTTATAAGCCACTCCTACCCTTCACTCGGAGTTTCAGAGCAGTTTATAATCTCCCTCTTTCCCTCCCCACAACAGACACCCTTGTGAGGTAGGTGGGGCTGAGAGAGCTCTTTTGAGGACTGCTCTTGAGAAAACAGCTCTGAGAAGAACTTGTGACTGACCCAAGGTCACACCAGCAGCTGCATGTGGAAGAGTGGGGAATCAAACCTGGTTCTCCCAGATTAGACTCTGCACTCTTAACCACAACACCAAACTGGCTCTCTGAGTTCTGGTCTTAGATCTGCCTCAGCTCTGGGAAGACCCTCCTCCACTTCCCGCTCCTAAGGGACACCTTTGGCCATGAGGGCTTGGACACGCCTCCGAGCAGGACCAAAGGAATAGTTTCAGAACTTCAGAGTGGGCAACTCCGTAGAAACCCATTCTGCCACCATGCACCGGAAGGCATGGCACCGGGAGGTGGCAGAGCTGCTCCTGGCAGTGGCAAGGCGAATGCTTGCATGCTTCCCCACCAACTTGTACAGCACTGCCTTCTCAGCCTCATTCCAGTTAGGGTGGCAGTGGCCATCACCGCAACCAGATGTTGGCGCGGCCATGCCATCCACACACAGGGGAATGTGCAGGTGGGCTGAGCCACTGTGGGAAGACGCTGATCCCCCCCCTTCTGGCCTGCCCCCCCATGTTTCCACCATGGCAGGAGGGGACCGCAGCCACCGGGAAACAAGGCACAGGAAGAGGGGTGGGTAGTGTCTAGGGAGGCCAGGGGGACAAGTGCCCAGAAAAACATGGCCTTGGCCTTCCGTCAGCACTGTGAATGCTGCTACCTCTTCCCGCAGGGCCCGGCCACTGCTGCCGGGATGGTGCCCCCTCCTGCCCTTGCTGCCCATACTAGGGGTTTGCCACATCCACTTACTGCCGGCGCTGTACATCTGGATGGCACAGCAACAGAGGAGAAGGTGCCATATTCACCAGTACGAAGCTCACATCAGTACTCTCCATCTGTCGGACAGCACTTGGTTTCACCTAGACAGCAACTATTTAGGTTGAGTGAAACATTAATGGACAGCAAACAGCCAGTTATACCAGCACAAATATTTATGATCATACAGAACACAAACATACAAAGGTTGGAGATTGGAGAATAGGGAGGAGAGGATGAGGTGGGAAATTCAAAGTTAAATTTTGATGGAAAGCAGTGACTTCATACAAAGATGATGAATTGGGAGAAGCTGAATGTTGACCTGGAGATGACATCACATCACAATACATAACATCATATGACCTAATATCACATCCCTGCTGCCCTCCCCAAACTCTAACCTCAAGCACCGCCCCAAAATATCCAGGAATTTTCCAAGCTGGAGTTGGAAGCCCTAGCACTCCTCTATTTTATCTTCACAACAACCTGTGAGGTAGGTTAGACAAGTGATAGACCCAAGGTCACCCTTGAACTTCCATCCAGGCAGAGTGAGGATTTGAACCTGGGGCTCATAGATCTTAGTCTAACAGCTACATCCCACTGTTGTATTTACGTTTAGTAAAAAAATTCCTATGAAACATTCAACTTGTTTAGACAAACTAGGGCCCCGGTCACACAGGCCGGATGGGGGGGGCGTGGCTAATTGCCCCGGCGCACTTTGATGCGCAATTATGCAATCAGACGCACCGGAGGCACACCACAGGTCCTTCCCTCGGTGCCGGCAGGTAAACAAGGGACCGGAGGGAAATGCCACGCTCCGGCACGATCACACCAGGGGGGTCTGGAGGCAGCCCATGGCAAACGTTTACATTTGTTTACATTACGTTTTTTAAGGCGCATTGTCGGTGGTAAGCAAGGGGGTGTGCTCCACTTCCCAGATGTTGGGGTGTGATCACCTGGAAAATCCGCCCAACATCCATGCCTCTCACAGGCAACCGGGGCCATATGTCAGCGTCAATGATTTTATTAAAGTCACATCTACCCTGTCCCACCACTATCACATCCTGCTAGGGCCTCTGCTTTAAATCTCAGATAGCCATTGAATACGCAGTGTGATTTGCAAAGCTGTTGACAAACGAGCGAGCTTTCGTCGTCTCTGCGTCCTTGTCTAGATTGGGACGCCTGATTTGAATCACCTGTTCTCTAGGGTTTTTCCTTCTTCCCCCGCCCCGGTGAAAACAAGAAGCAAAAAGAGGAAGAAGCAAGGGCCAGCTCAGCTCACAAAACACCGAAGAAACGAAAGTGAAAGGGCCATGGAGTGAGGCAAGACGTTTTCCGACAATGCCCCCCGCCGATGGTGACGTTGGAATGGAAACGGACCGCGGCCTTTTCCAGATTTGCCCAATATCCTGTCGGCGTGCGGGTGGGATGGGATCCCCCCCCCCCCCGCCCACAAAATGGGTTCCGGACTTGCCACCCTTACAGAAACTCCTCT